ATTTAATTTTAATATTACAAAAATCTAATTTATTTTATTTAATATTTACAAAAATCTAATTTATATTAGTTAATATTTACAAAAATCTAATTTATATTAGTTAATATTTACATAAATCTAATTTATATTAGTTAATATTTACAAAAATCTACTCTAGAAAGATATATAACAAATCTACTTTACAAGATTTACATCTATTAGGAGAGTTGGAACAACAAGCCCAGTGGAACAACGGCAGCCAACCAGTCTAGACTGCCATGTCTACCAGTCAACCACAACACTGTCTACCATTCTACCAGTAGTCAACAACCTCTAACTCTACCAGTTTACTACCAACAACATTCTACTATCTAGCGGTTGTCAATCTTTGATACTGTACCAGTCAGGTACCAACAACAATCTACCTTGTCTACCATTCTACCAGTCATCATTTACAGCACTGTCTACCATTCTACCAGTCATCACCTACAACACTGACATTCTACCAGTCATCACCTACAACATTGCCATTCTACCAGTCATCACCTACAACACTGCCATTCTACCAGTCATCACCTACAACACTACCATTCTACCAGTCATCACCTACAACATTGACATTCTACCAGTCATCACCTACAACACTGCCATTCTACCAGTCATCACCTACAACATTGCCATTCTACCAGTCATCACCTACAACACTGCCATTCTACCAGTCATCACCTACAACATTGACATTCTACCAGTCATCACCTACAACACTGCCATTCTACCAGTCATCACCTACAACACTACCATTCTACCAGTCATCACCTACAACACTGCCATTCTACCAGTCATCACCTACAACATTGACATTCTACCAGTCATCACCTACAACACTGCCATTCTACCAGTCATCACCTACAACATTGCCATTCTACCAGTCATCACCTACAACACTGCCATTCTACCAGTCATCACCTACAACATTGACATTCTACCAGTCATCACCTACAACATTGCCATTCTACAACTCATCACCTACAACACTACCATTCTACCAGTCATCACCTACAACATTGACATTCTACCAGTCATCACCTACAACACTACCATTCTACCAGTCATCACCTACAACATTGACATTCTACCAGTCATCACCTACAACATTGCCATTCTACCAGTCATCACCTACAACAACTGCCATTCTACCAGTCATCACCTACAAACATTGCCATTCTAACCAGTCATCACCTACAACACTACCATTCTACCAGTCATCACCTACAACATTGACATTCTA